TGCTGGGAGCAACTCGTCTGGCTGGTGGGGGTGCTAGAAGCAACTCGCCTGGCTGGTGGGGGTGCTGGGAGCAACTCGCCTGGCTGGTGGGGGGTGCTGGGAGCAACTCGCCTGGCTGGTGGGGGTGGGTGGGAGCAACTCGCCTGGCTGGTGGGGTGCTGGGAGCAACTCACCTGGCTGGTGGGGGTGCTGGGAGCAACTCCCCTGGCTGGTGGGGGTGCTGGGAGCAACTCGCCTGGCTGTGGGGGTGCTGGGAGCAACTCGCCTGGCTGGTGGGGGTGCTGGGAGCAACTCGCCTGGCTGTGGGGGCTGGGAGCAACTGGCCTGGCCGGTGGGGGTGCTGAGAGCAACTCACGTGGCTGGTGGGGGTGCTGGGAGCAACTCACCTGGCTAGTGGGGGTGCTGGGAGCAACTCGTCTGGCTGGTGGGGGTGCTGGGAGCAACTCACCTGGCTGGTGGGGGTGCTGGGAGCAACTCGCCTGGCTGGTGGGGGTGTTGGGAGCAACTCGCCTGGCTGGTGGGGGTGCTCGGAGCAACTCGTCTGGCTGGTGGGGGTGCTGGGAGCAACTCACCTGGATGGTGGGGGTGCTGGGAGCAACTCGCCTGGCTGGTGGGGGTGCTGGGAGCAACTCGCCTGGCTGGTGGGGTGCTGGGAGCAACTCGCCTGCTGGTGGGGGTGTTGGGAGCAACTCGCCTGGCTGGTGGGGGTGCTGGGAGCAACTCGTCTGGCTGGTGGGGGTGCTGGGAGCAACTCACCTGGCTGGTGGGGGTGCTGGGAGCAACTCGCCTGGCTGGTGGGGGTGTTGGGAGCAACTCGCCTGGCTGGTGGGGGTGCTCGGAGCAACTCGTCTGGCTGGTGGGGTGCTGGGAGCAACTCACCTGGATGGTGGGGGCTGGGAGCAACTCGCCTGGCTGGTGCGGGTGCTGGGAGCAACTGGCCTAGCCGGTGGGGGTGCTGGAGAGCAACTCACCTGGCTGGTGGGGGTGCTAGGAGCAACTCGAATGGCTGTGGGGGTGCTGGGAGCAACTCGCCTGGCTGGTGGGGGTGCTGGGAGCAACTCCCCTGGCTGGTGGGGGTGCTGGAGCAACTCACCTGGCTGGTGGGGTGCTGGTAGCAAGTCACCTGGCTGGTGGGGGTGCTGGGAGCAACTCGCCTGGCTGGTGGGGGTGCTGGGAGCAACTCGCCTGGCTGGTGGGGGTGTTGGGAGCAACTCGCCTAGCTGGTGGGGTGTTGGGAGCAACTCGCCTGGCTGGTGGGGGTGCTAGGAGCAACTCACCTGGCTGGTGGGGGTGCTAGGAGCAACTCAACTGGATAGTGGGGGTGCTGGGAGCAACTCAACTGGATGGCGGGGGTGCTAGGAGCAACTCACCTGGCTGGTGGGGGTGCTGGGAGCACTCAACTGGCTGGTGGGGGGCTGGGAGCAACTCAACTTGCTGGTGGGGGTGCTAGGAGCAACTCGCCTGGCTGGTGGGGGTGCTGGGAGCAACTCGCCGGGGTAGCTGGGAGCAACTCGCCTGGCTGGTGGGGGTGCTGTGAGCAACTCGCCTGGCTGGTGGAAGTGCTGGGAGCAACTCACCTGGCTGGTGCAGGTGCTGGAGCAACTCGCCTGGCTGGTGGGGGTGCTGGGAGCAACTCACGTGGCTGGTGGGGGTGCTGGGAGCAACTCAACTGGCTGGTGGGGGTGCTGGGAGCAACTCAACTGGCTGGTGGGGGTGCTGGGAGCAACTCGCCTGGCTGGTGGGGGTGCTGAGAGCAACTCGCCTGGCTGTGGGGTTGCAGGGAGCAACTCACCTGGCTGGTGGGGGTGCTGGGAGCAACTCGCCTGGCTGGTGGGGGTGCTGGGAGCAACTGACCTGGCTGGTGGGGGTGCTGGGAGCAACTCACCTGGCTGGTGGGGTGCTGGGAGCAACTCACCTGTCTGGTGGGGGTGCTGGGAGCAACTCGCCTGGCTGGTGGGGGTGCTGGGAGCAACTCGCTTGGCCGGTGGGGGTGCTGGGAGCAACTCGCCTGGCTGGTGGGGGTGCTGGGAGCAACTCGCCTGGCTGGTGGGGTGCTGGGAGCAACTCCCCTGGCTGGTGGGGGTGCTGGGAGGAACTCGCCTGGCTGGTGGGGGTGGTGGGAGCAACTCGCCTGGCTGGTGGGGTGCTGGGAGCAACTCACCTGGCTGGTGGGGGTGCTAGGAGCAACTCGCCTGGCTGGTGGGGGTGCTGGGAGCAACTCGCCTGGCTGGTGGGGGTGCTGGGAGCAACTCGCCTGGCTGGTGGGGGTGCTGTGAGCAACTCGCCTGGCTGGTGGGGGTGCTGGGAGCAACTCGCCTGGCCGGTGGGGTGCTGAGAGCAACTCACCTGGATGGTGGGGGTGCTGGGAGCAACTCAACTGGCTGGTGGGGGTGCTGGGAGCAACTCGACTGGCTGGTGGGGGTGCTGGGAGCAACTCGCCTGGCTGGTGGGGGTGTTGGGAGCAACTCGCCTGGCTGGTGGGGGTGCTGGGAGCAACTCGTCTGGCTGGTGGGGGTGCTGGGAGCAACTCACCTGGCTGGTGGGGGTGCTGGGAGCAACTCGCCTGGCTGGTGGGGTGTTGGGAGCAACTCGCCTGGCTGGTGGGGGTGCTCGGAGCAACTCGTCTGGCTTGTGGGGGTGCTGGGAGCAACTCACCTAGATAATGGGGGTGCTGGGAGCAACTCGCCTGACTGGTGCGGGTGCTGGGAGCAACTCGCCTAGCCGGTGGGGGTGCTGGGAGCAACTCGCCTGGCTGGTGGGGGTGTTGGGAGCAACTTGCCTGGCTGGTGGGGGTGCTGGGAGCAACTCGTCTGGCTGGTGGGGTACTGGGAGCAACTCACCTGGCTGGTGGGGGTGCTGGGAGCAACTCGCTTGGCTGGTGGGGGTGCTGGGAGCAACTCGCCTGGCGGGTGCGGGTGCTGGGAGCAACTCGTCTGGCTGGTGGGGGTGCTGGGAGCAACTCGCCTGGCTGGTGGGGGTGCTGGGAGCAACTCGACTGCTGGTGGGGGTGCTGGGAGCAACTCAACTGGCTGGTGGGGGTGCTGGGAGCAACTCGCCTGGCTGGTGGGGGTGCTGGGAGCAACTCAACTGGCTGGTGGGGGCGCTGGGAGCAACTCGTCTGGCTAGTGGGAGTGCTGGGAGCAACTCGCCTGGCTGGTGGGGGTGCTGGGAGCAACTTGCCTGGCTGGTGGGGGCGCTGGGAGCAACTCGTCTGGCTGGTGGGGGTGCAGGGAGCAACTCACCTGGCTGGTGGGGGTGCTGGGAGCAACTCGCCTGGCTGGCGGGGGTGCTGGGAGCAACTTGCCTGGCTGGTGGGGGTGCTAGGAGCAACTTGCCTGGCTGGTGGGGGTGCTGTGAGCAACTCGCCTTGCCTGTGGGGGAGCTGGGAGCAACTCACCTGTCTGGTGGGGGTGCTGGGAGCAACTCGCCTGGCTGGTGGGGGTGCTGGGAGCAACTCGCTTGGCCGGTGGGGGTGCTGGGAGCAACTCGCCTGGCTGGTGGGGGTGCTAGGAGCAACTCGCCTGGCTGGTGGGGGTGCTGGGAGCAACTCGCCTGGCTGGTGGGGGTGCTGGAAGCAACTCGCCTGGCTGGTGGGGTGGTGGGAGCAACTCGCCTGGCTGGTGAGGGTGCTGGGAGCAACTCACCTGGCTGGTGGGGGTGCTGGGAGCAACTCACCTGGCTGGTGGGGTTGCTGGGAGCAACTCGCCTGGCTGGTGGGGGTGCTGGGAGCAACTCGCCTGGCTGGTGGGGGTGCTGGAGCAACTCGCCTGGCTGGTGCGGGTGCTGGGAGCAACTCACCTAGCCGGTGGGGTGCTGGGAGCAACTCGCCTGGCTGGTGGGGGTGTTGGGAGCAACTCGCCTGGCTGGTGGGGGTGCTGGGAGCAACTCGTGTGGCTGGTGGGGGTGCTGGGAGCAACTCACCTGGCTGGTGGGGGTGCTGGGAGCAACTCGCTTGGCTGGTGGGGGTGCTGGGAGCAACTCGCCTGGCGGGTGCGGGTGCTGGGAGCAACTCGTCTGGCTGGTGGGGGTGCTGGGAGCAACTCGCCTGGCTGGTGGGGGTGCTGGGAGCAACTCGACTGGCTGGTGGGGGTGCTGGGAGCAACTCAACTGGCTGGTGGGGGTGCTGGAGCAACTCGCCTGGCTGGTGGGGGTGCTGGGAGCAACTCAATTGGCTGGTGGGGGCGCTGGTAACAACTCGTCTGGCTGGTGGGAGTGCTGGGAGCAACTCGCCTGGCTGGTGGGGGTGCTGGGAGCAACTTGCCTGGCTGGTGGGGGCGCTGGGAGCAACTCGTCTGGCTGGTGGGGGTGCAGGGAGCAACTCACGTGGCTGGTGGGGGTGCTGGGAGCAACTCGCCTGGCTGGCGGGGGTGCTGGGAGCAACTTGCCTGGCTGGTGGGGGTGCTAGGAGCAACTTGCCTGGCTGGTGGGGGTGCTGTGAGCAACTCGCCTGGCCGGTGGGGGGTGCTGGGAGCAACTCACCTGTCTGGTGGGGGTGCTGGGAGCAACTCGCCTGGCTGGTGGGTCTGGGAGCAACTGCGCTTGGCCGAGTGGGGTGCTGGGAGCAACTCGCCTGGCTGGTGGGGTGCTAGTAGCAACTCGCCTGGCTGGTGGGGGTTGCTGGGAGCACTCGCCTGGCTGGTGGGGGTGCTGGGAGCAACTCGCCTGGCTGGTGGGGGTGGTGGGAGCAACTCGCCTGGCTGGTGGGGGTGCTGGGAGCAACTCACCTGGCTGGTGGGGGTGCTGGGGAGCAACTCACCTGGCTGGTGGGGGTGCTGGGAGCAACTCACCTGGCTGGTGGGGGTGCTGGGAGCAACTCGCCTGGCTGGTGGGGGTGCTGGGAGCAACTCGCCTGGCTGGTGGGGGTGCTGGAGCAACTGGCCTGGCCGGTGGGGGTGCTGAGAGCAACTCACCTGGCTGGTGGGGGTGCTGGGAGCAACTCGCCTGGCTGGTGGGGTGCTAGGAGCAACTCACCTGGCTGGTGGGGGTGCTGGGAGCAACTCGCCTGGCTGGTGGGGGTGCTGGGAGCAAACTCGCCTGGCTGGTGGGGGTGTTGGGAGCAACTCGCCTGGCTGGTGGGGGTGCTGGGAGCAACTCGTCTGGCTGGTGGGGGTGCTGGGAGCAACTCACCTGGCTGGTGGGGGTGCTGGGAGCAACTCGCCTGGCTGGTGGGGGTGTTGGGAGCAACTCGCCTGGCTGGTGGGGGTGCTGGGAGCAACTCACCTGGATGGTGGGGGTGCTGGGAGCAACTCGCCTGGCTGGTGCGGGTGCTGGGAGCAACTGGCCTAGCCGGTGGGGGTGCTGGGAGCAACTCACCTGGCTGGTGGGGGTGCTAGGAGCAACTCGAATGGCTGGTGGGGGTGCTGGGAGCAACTCGCCTGGCTGGTGGGGGTGCTGGGAGCAACTCCCCTGGCTGGTGGGGGTGCTGGGAGCAACTCACCTGGCTGGTGGGGGTGCTGGTAGCAACTCACCTGGCTGGTGGGGGCGCTGGGAGCAACTCGCCCTGGCTGGTGGGGGTGCTGGGAGCAACTCGCCTGGCTGGTGGGGGTGTTGGGAGCAACTCGCCTAGCTGGTGGGGGTGTTGGAGAGCAACTCGCCTGGCTGGTGGGGGGTGGCTAGGAGCAACTCACCTGGCTGGTGGGGGTGCTAGGAGCAACTCAACTGGATAGTGGGGGTGCTGGGAGCAACTCAACTGGATGGCGGGGGTGCTAGGAGCAACTCACCTGGCTGGTGGGGGTGCTAGGAGCAACTCAACTGGCTGGTGGGGGTGCTGGGAGCAACTCAACTTGCTGGTGGGGGTGCTAGGAGCAACTCGCCTGGCTGGTGGGGGTGCTGGGAGCAACTCGCCGGGGGTGCTGGGAGCAACTCGCCTGGCTGGTGGGGGTGCTGGGAGCAACTCGCCTGGCTGGTGGGGGTGTTGGGAGCAACTCGCCTGGCTGTTGGGGGTGCTGGGAGCAACTCGTCTGGCTGGTGGGGGTGCTGGGAGCAACTCACCTGGCTGGTGGGGGTGCTGGGAGCAACTCGCCTGGCTGGTGGGGGTGTTGGGAGCAACTCGCCTGGCTGGTGGGGGTGCTCGGAGCAACTTGTCTGGCTGGTGGGGGGTGCTGGGAGCAACTCACCTGGATGGTGGGGGTGCTGGGAGCAACTCGCCTGGCTGGTGCGGGTGCTGGGAGCAACTGGCCTAGCCGGTGGGGGTGCTGGGAGCAACTCACCTGGCTGGTGGGGGTGCTAGGAGCAACTCGAATGGCTGGTGGGGGTGCTGGGAGCAACTCGCCTGGCTGGTGGGGGTGCTGGGAGCAACTCCCTTGGCTGGTGGGGGTGCTGGGAGCAACTCACCTGGCTGGTGGGGGTGCTGGTAGCAACTCACCTGGCTGGTGGGGGTGCTGGGAGCAACTCGCCTGGCTGGTGGGGGTGCTGGGTGTTGGTGTTAGGCCCCAATCTCACATTTTGTACTTGTACTTTTATATCCTAGTTTAGTGTAGTTTGCACTTTGTGTTTGGTTGGGTGTACACCCACATCCCAACCAAACCCAAATGTAATCTCCAAGCAATCTCCAACTCACCAATTGGAGATTGCCTTGGGATTACCCTTGATTCCCTAGGATTGCCTCCTGATTCCCTCCTCATCCCTACCTTGCTCATTCCGGATGTACTTAAAGAGCTTTGAGCTCACTACTATAGTATCGATTCTAAGCTCAAGTTCTGACATGGTAATCAGAGCAGCTCAACCGCATACGCGGATCGTGATCCTCTCATCTCTGCGGATACTTGTCCCGCAAACCTCGGGGAAGCCATCGCCAATCTCGTCGCCGTTGATTCGCGACATTCATCGGCGGAATTTCTCCCGCCAAATCTTCCCGTCACCATCGACGGAAACTTCTCTGGTAAGCGCATCGTCGGCGCTCTAACCTAACACTCGTTTTCATCAATTCGTCACTTCTTCTCCTCGACGGGCTGCCGCCCGTCGCCCTGCAGCTTCTCGTCGGGCCGCCGCCCGTCGCCCCGCAGCGTCATCTTCGGGCTGCCGCCCGTCGCCCCGCATCTGCACTCCTACCCCCATCCCCCCTCTTTCCCGCAGCTGAACAGGTGCAGCAACGCAGCCGTAGCAGCAGCGTAGCCGCGAAGCTGAGGGTGGTGTGTGGGGGGGTGTGTGGGAATAGGACTAGTAGGTAGTTGACACTAAATTGGCGTCTCAGTCAAATTCTCCTTCGTAAACCCTAAACCTCCGGTTCTTCAAAATCTCCTTTGGAAACCCAAACCTCAAGTTCCTATTGGTGACTTAAGAGCGGCGCTCCGCGCGAGAAGTTAAGGGGTCTCCACCATGGCTTTCTCGTCTTCCACCATGGCGAACCCCATCACCCCGCTCCGCCTTGAAGCCGATGGCTCTAGCTCCAACTTCAAGGCGTGGAGCTACGGAGTTGACAAGCACCTCCTGAGCCGTGACGTGCAGGGCCTTGACCTCAAGGACGTCCTCCTCAACCGTGGCAAGGGAAACAGCCCACTCTTCCCCGTGAACCGACCGAATCTTCAAGTGATGCTGACGTGATGACGTACGAAGAAGCTGTTGAGAAGTACCGGAAGTGGGAGAAGGCCGATGCTGCCATCATCAGCTGTCGTGAATCCTCCTCTGCAGACTCTCATTCTCACTCTCCCCATGCGTATCCCGCTGATTCTCCCTTATCTCCTTCCTTCCCTACCACAGGTTCAGCCCTTCTTCCTCCTGGTGTAGGTAATCACCCTGTCCTGTAATCCTCCTGGTATCTCAGGCTTCCCTGCAACAAGTCTAAACTCCCTCGCAAGGGCTCAGTCAGATTGCTGTTAGCTTCTCCTACTGCTAGTTCCCTTCGGATTAGGAAAGCAAATTGCAGTAAACAAGAAACATACAAGCAAAAAGCAACGAGTCTGAGCGCTACCCCAGTCTACATCCCCTCCTGCCTAGTTGCCTTGTCCCGCAAGCTACCTCTACCCCTAAGCGCGAGTCAGCTGAGCTGATCGCGTAGGCTTCAAGGTGCTAGCTGGGTCCCACTGGGCCCACTAGGCATGCACCGCCTTCCAGCCTGGTGAATGGCGAATTGAATTCCCAGGCTGGCTGGAATCGAATTCGCCACCAACCTCCTCATCAACCTCCTCGAAATCCTCAGCAGCTCGACTCTGTATAGTACAGTAACATTCCAAAGCAAGCACACAAAGTAAAAATGCGAAAAGCAGTAAACTATAGTACACCCTCACCTTGGCTGCTGCGAAATTCACACTTAGTTGCCGGCTAAGTGTTAATAACGCGACAGCTGTCGTGAATCCTCCTCTGCAGACTCTCATTCTCACTCTCCCATGCGTATCCCGCTGATTCTCCCTTATCTCCTTCCTTCCCTACCACAGGTTCAGCCCTTCTTCCTCCTGGTGTAGGTAATCACCCTGTCCTGTAATCCTCCTGGTATCTCAGGCTTCCCTGCCCCCTCCCGTGTCTCAGCGCTCATCTTAGCCGCTCGAGCCACGGGACCCAATGCCTGAGGCTTCCCTTGTCCCGCCCTGGCCACGTTGGTGATGTGCTCCTTGATGGTTCCCCCTCGGATATCTTCCAGCACTAACACTCCCGAGCCTCGAATCTCTTTCACCTTCCACCGCTCTGAACCCACAGCTAAGTCCAGCGTGTCGCGCTTAGCTTTGCGGAGGTACACCTCCTGTCCTGCCTCCACCTTGTCTTCCCTTCCTCCCACCCCTGATGCTTTACGCTGCTGGTATCGTCTAGCATCACGCAACTGCGCCACGTGGAGATTATCCAGGGCTGCCGGAGTCAGCTCCTTCAAATACTTCGCCCTCTTATATGCTAACTCCGCCCACAGGTTCGGCTCATCCGCCTCTATAACCGCAGAGAGCAGCTTCGGTGCGTCGACCGGCAGCACAGGGTCCCGTCCGAACAGCAGGTGGTATGGGGATAGGTTCTTCAGTGCCGCCTGCTTTGCGAACCTGTACCCAGCCAGTACCAACCATAGATCTCGGTCCCAGCTCCTTTTGTGGGTCTCACTGTAGGCCCGAAGTCCTTTCTTCAAGGTCTGTATGAGCCTCTCGGTCAGTCCGTCTGATTGCGGGTGGTACCTAGAGGTGACCCTGTGCGTGATACCCATCTCCTCTAACAGCTCATCAAAGCTCCCTTGGAACTCAGTCCCTTGATCAGTGAGTACCTCTCCGCATGCCCCATACCTGGTAAGCACCAGCTCCTCAAATGCGTCTGCTATCAGTGCGCTGTTCTTGCTTGGTAATGCACGCACCTCCACCCATTTGCTCGTGTGCTCAACCATCACCAGAATGTACTGCTTCCCCCCTTTCGACAGCGGTAGCTCCCCCGCGAGGTCCAGCGACCACCTGTAGCCCAACCCGTGAATTGGTAACGAATGCAGCTCATCCCTCTCTTTCTCCAGCCTTGCTTTATTCCTCTGACAAGCCTCGCAGCTCGCCACTAATCCTGCTACATCCTTTCCCATGCTCGCCCACCAGTACATGGTGCTCAGCAGCTGCCGCGTCCTGGTTATGCCATAGTGCCCCAGCTTCGCGTGCACGTTCCCCATAATCCTGGCCCTCTCCTGTGGCTGCGGCACTACCTTCCACCCTTCGTTAGTTCTCAGCTGCAGCTGTTCCTGAAACCACCTGAAATGCTGTCCTCGGGCCCTGGCTCTCTCGCTCACTCCTCCCTCTTCGAGTGGCTCCCCTTTGATCCAGCTCATGGTCTCCTCATCTTCCCATATATCCCCTAACCGCTTCTTTCCCTTCTCCTGCCCCCAGGTTACTGCCGCTACCTGAGCCATGGCTGCCAGTTGTGCTACCGGCTGCAAAGGAGGCGGGTTCCTTGATAACCCATCGGCGTGCTGCAGAGTTTTCCCAGGTCGGTGTCGGATCTCAAAATCGAATCCCAGCAGCTTAATGGCCCAGCGTGCGTTTCTCCCAGTCAGCTCCTGATGAGTCATCAACCATAGCAACGGCTGATGATCAGTCACAAGTGTGAAATGCCGACCCTGCAGGTACACCTTGAAGTGAGTGATCCCCCATACAGCTGTCAGGCCCTCCCCTTCGTAAGAGCAGTAGTTAGCCTCGGATGGGCTGCAGCTGCGGCTGGCGAAGGCTACCACTCTCTCCTCTCCCTCTATCTCTTGGCAGAGCACTGCCCCCATTCCTGTGCTGCTCCAGTCGGTGTATAAGATGAAAGGGGCATCTGCCCTCGGTATCTGCAGCAGTGTTCCAGTCCGTACTGCTTCCAGCAGGTCCTGCCTTGCCGTTTCCTCCAGCTCTCCCCACTGCCAGCTCCTCCCTTCCTTTAGCAGCTGATTCAGTACGTAGGCGCGGCGGCTGAAGTTCGGAACGAACTTCCTGTAATAATTCAGGAAGCCGAGTAGCGCCCGCAGCCCGGTCTTGTCCTTGGGTGCTGCTAAGTTCTCCAGCACCTTCACCTTTGCTTCCTGTATTGCCAGCCGGCCCCCCTTCACTTCGAAGCCCAGGTAAGCCACGGTCTGCCTTGCTACCTTGCACTTGTCTGGATGGCACGTTAGGCCTGCAGATGCTATTGCCTCTAGCGTCCGCTTCAGATCTTGCACGTGCTGCTCTTCGCTGCTGCTGAATATCAGTATATCATCTATGTAGCATGCTGCTGCCGGAATCCCCTTCAGCACCTGATCCATGGCTCGCTGAAACACTGCAGGGGCGTTGCGAATCCCGAAAGGCATCACATTGTACTCATACAGCCCATCCACCCCGTGGAACGCCGTCTTCCGTTTGTCTTCCTCCCTAATGGCTATTTGGTTGAACCCTTGCCGCAGGTCCAAGGTGGTGAAGATGATGGCGCCCTCTAAACGGTCGAAGATGTCTTCAGCAGTTGGCATTGGATACCTATCTGGACTAGTGATCTTGTTCAGCTCCCTGAAGTCCCCGCACATCCTCTTCGCCAGTACCTTCCCCGTGATATCTTTCCTAGCGGCTACCACTGTGGCTTGCGGCGTAGCTTGACTCTGACGGGCGGATAATCCCTGCGGCCAGCAGCTCTTCGCACTTCTCCTTACATATGGCTGCATCCTCTGCATTCATCCTCCTCCTGCGTTGATATGTGGGCAGCTCCGTGGTGAGGTTTAGCTCCAGCTCTCTCCCCTTATACCTCCCCAGCTCTGACAAGTTGTACGCGAAAGTGTTCCTGTGTTGCCGTA